CTACCTCGGCCATTCGAGTGGTTATGTCGTCTAAGGGTGTGGTGGAGCCGTCAGGCCCATGAACTGTGCAGTAGACTTCGTAGTCAGTTCCCGCCGACAGACCGTCTTGAATGTCTATCGTCTGCAACTTCTCTGAAACCACCCGTATTTGGTGGAAAATGACGGACGTGGGATCCAAAGCCGAGACCAAAGCTGGCGGACTGTCGCTGCTCTCGAGCAACTGGCAGTTGGCTTGGTCGGCTTGACCCGGGGTTGCCGTTCCCTCAATCCAGAAGGCGATTCTCCCGCAGTTCAATGTGTCCCGGCACTCTTGTCTGCACCCTTCGATATCAGTGGTGGTTGTGAATTCAATATGAGCTGAAGTTGTTGCAGGAATGTTGCTGTTCACATCAGAGTCGTCCGCATCTACCCAGGTCTCGTCGGTGAGCTCAGTGACGTTTATGTAGTAGTCCGACTTCTCAATTTCTTTAGAAGTAGGAGTTCGCAAACGGTAGAGCGTGTTGATCGGAAGACAGTAAACTCTAGCTCCTAGGGTAGTGATATTTATGTCCAAAGTTATCCAGCTTGTTCCCGCCCTAACTGCTTGGATGCGGTAGTCGGGCGCTAAGGTGGAGGCAGTCTGGCCACTGCCATCCATCCCTTCGGCCAAGTCGGTTGTGTCTACAGTGTATCGACAATAGACCGTTCTGTTGGTCACAGGATCATCTGTCCATAACCATTGTGCATTGACGGCGGCCCATGCCTTATTCCTATCCCTCCAAGGACAGCAGTCGCTCTCTATGGGGTACTCGACTGCCATGGGCCAACTAGCGTCATTGTAGCTTTGGGCGAACCATGAATTCGCGAACTGACTTGTACACCGCCAATGCTCGGCTGTACTGATGACGAAATTAGGTAAGGCCAGGATCCAAGCGCCATAACTCGGGTAAATGAGCACCGTGTGGCCAGTGTCCACCTCGACCCCTTCTGTTGGCTTGTTATTTGTCGCTCGAATGGCGATCACATCGCCATCCACGAGGTCAGAGGCCAATCGGAAAACTTCAACGCCCGAATTCACGCCCTGTATTTCGTAGTTGGTGTTGAGATAGTAAATGTCCAGTGTCGGGTCGGTCGGAGCTAGATCGCCGTTAATGTAAATATCGACATCTGTGTC